CTAAAAAAGACCCTTAATGCTATGAACACCTATAAAACTATGGGTGTTAATAAATGATCTATTGATTCAGAATGATTTCCAAATCCAAATTTACGTACCCTGATTTGAAAGGCTTTAATGGCTCATATTGTAATTGATTAGGGAGTTGATTATTTCCCTAAATAGTTTATTTAACTAGGAATTTGATTGGATATTAGATTAGGAAGTTTTTGTCTTATTTTCTTTACCCCAAATCTATAAATAGAGGGTTTGAGGATTATTATATGTATGAGAGCTTGAGAACATATGTTTATTCCTATTTGTTTCTCCAATATTGTAAAATCATTATCCCCTCCCTGTGGACGTAGGCTTCATCGCCGAATTATGTAAACCATCATGTTCTTTGTGTTGTTTGTATTGTGACTTTTGATTTATTATTTTCGTTATGTTTATTGTACAACAATTAGTATCAGAACTGGATTTATGTAAGACTTAGACTAGAAAAAGGATTCGGTGTATCAAAGTCGATAATAGGAGAGAATACACTTCGGATGCATTCTTGCAGGAGTGTCAGAGATTTTGTAATAGCCTAATTGTTTAACTATTGAGATATTATCCGATTTGGTCTAAGAGCCTCACGATTTTGTCATGTTGGTGTAACTTCCCAGTAGGTCACCCATCCAAGAATTGTTTCGGCATAAGCATGCTTAACAATGGAGTTTATTAATAAAATTTTAACTACTACACCAAAAGGTGCCTCAATATTTACGAGTTTAGCTTCTTTTACTTAAGGTGTTTCACAATTTTTCCCACTTAAGTAACCGACAACCTCGTCAGCATCTTTATCTCAGAGTTATCTACTATGTAGATAAAATTCTAAAGGTGGCCCCTACAAGTTCAAGTGGTGGTTCTCGTCATGCAACACTTTATCATACACAGGGTTCAAAAGGTGGCTCCCATAGTGTAATATTTTGTCTTGTATGATACTTAGTTCCATCTTCCAGTTTGTGTATTGCTCTCATACTATCTATAACGGCCCAAACTCTTAATTATCAATATATTATCTGTCTTGGCCTAAGAACCTCAAGATTTTGTCTTGTTGGTGTAACTTATAGTAGGTCATTCATTCCAGAACTATACTGGGATGAGCTCGCTTAACTACATAGTTTATTAATAAAATTCTAACAATTATACCAAAAGTACCTTGATGTTTAAGAGTTTAACCTTTTTTACTTAAGGGGTTTCACAGATTTGGGATAGAGCATCACTTCACAGTTAAAGAGACATTACAACAGAATAGGGTGGCAGAGAGGATGAACCAGAATTTGGTGGAGAAAGTTCGGTCTACATTATCTAATGTTGGATTGGATAGTTTATTGGGCTGAGGTGATGGACTATGATTGTCACTTTGTGAATAGTCTATCTTCTGTAGCTATTGGGAAGAAGACCACAAAGGAGATGTTGTGAGGGCGTCCTGCTACAAATTATGAGCACTTGAGAGTATTTGGATGTCTAGTTTACTATCATGTTCATAATGATAAACTCAAATTATGGGTAAAGAAGATGATATTTATTGGCTTCAAGCTTGAAGTTAAGGGCTTCAAATTCGATGATCCAATAGAGATAAAAGATTAGCATTAGCAGAGATGTTACTTTTTGATGAGGCGAGCATATTAAAGTCTCAGGACTCAAACCAGGTGGAGAGTTCTATTGGGACCACAAATGTACTGCAAAAGTTTGTGTTTGATGCAACTCCATTTGTTACATAGAAGCCAATCATTTCTACCCAAGTACCTAATTCAGCTACATATCAGGAGATAGAAGATGATGTTGAGGATGAGATTCTTGCTCAGAAATCTATTGTGAGGAATAAGTTCAGGCACCATAATGTCACAAAAATTAGCTTGGTTGAGGGATTATATTGTATTTACACTTTCAACTGTAGAGGCTAAAATTCCTAGTCACTTTAAGGAAGCAGTGAACAACCCTGATGATGATTTATGAAAGAGGGCTATGGATGAAGAGATGGAGCTCTTCAGAAGAATATTACTTGGAGGTTGGTGAATCTTCTTATATGAAGGAATGTTATTTGGTGCAAATGGGAGTGTGCAAATGACGAATCTCATAGATTTGATGTGAGAACAAGACTAGGTGGGTGGCAAAAGTATCTGCACAACAGGAAGGGATTGAGTAGGATGAGGTGTTCTCCCCAGTGATTATGCATCCCTAGATCCATGGTCACATGGCACTTGTAGCACATTACGGCTTGATTTTGAAGCAGCTCAATCCAAATATTGCACAAAGCAGTTGACATTGTGAGTAGGTTCATACATGATCTAGGAAGGAGTCATTGGCAAGCTATGAAGAGTATCTTGATATATCTGAATGGTACAAGTAATACATGTTTAGTGTTAGAGAGGCAGTCACCATGATAGTGTTGTAGGACTCATGATTATTTGTCCACTTATTTTGAAGAACAACGCTTAGCTTGATCCCTTGGGTGGGGGTACATGGGTAACCATTGGGTGTAGTCATTTTGATATTGGTGTCTGGTTTATCATCTTCCACTTTTTGAAGTGAAAGATGAGGTTAAGATTATTAATTTGAAAAGATTTCTAAATCCAAATTATCCTTGATTTGGAAGGCTTTGATGGCTCATATTATAATTGATTAGGGAGTTGATTATTTTTCTATAATTGATTTGATTAGATATTAGATTAGTAAATATTTTTCCTTATTTTGTCCCAAATCTATAAATAGGAAGGTTTGAGGGATGTTGCATATATAAGAGCTTGAGAGCAATTGTAATATTTGTTTCTCCAATATAATGAAATCATCATCCTCTCTACATGGACATAGGCATCTTTGTTGAATCATGTAAATCATCGTGTTATTTGTTGTGCAAATTTTTATGTATTATTTTTGTTGTGTTTATTGGACAACATGATCCGACCCAAAATATTCAGGTTTGGATTTGTAATAACTTAAATATGTGAAATAAATTTATTAAAAAAAACATAAAAATTTTGAAGTGGAGCGCTTTGGCGTTGATCTAGAGAGTGCTACAATGTGAGGCAATGAATTATATATATACAAATATTGCTACCTCACCCCACCGACTCCCTCACTTCGTTGCTTAGCGAAGAAAAAATTAAAAGACAAGAAGAAGAGGAGGAGAAAGAAATATATTTGGATCATATTTATCAATCATTATTGTTACAAATTTTATTCTATTAATTATAAGTGACTAATCTCTTACTTCTATTTTCAATGATTTTTATTTCTATGAATTTTATCTCTCATAAATATGCTAAAATTATATTATCTCTTAATTAATTTCATAGTTTTCACCATACAAGTTTGGATATATTATATATATGATCATTCGAAATGATTTGATATGATTTTATTTCATTTTAAATGAAGTACTGAATGATATAAGATACATGATATGATAAATCCACATTATACCATACTAATCAACGTGATTCACTGATTGTGAGCCATAAGGAGCTGGAGATTGATTGAGAGTTATAAGGAGTCGGGACGACTGATTCACATGATTCAAGTGGAGTTATAAGGAGTATATTGATTGAGAGTTATAAGGGGCGACTGATTGAGAGTCATAAGTGCAGGAGAAAGATACCCTTAAAATACACTCATGAAATATATGAATACTGATACTAACATTGCTACGAATACTGCACTGAATATTGTGACTTACAGTAATAGTCTAATACTATTTTCTATCATTAACATTATTTAATATTATTGATTATAAAACTAATATTATTACTGGCATTAGTATTATTGACTGTTACTAATACTGTAATTGATGATGTAATAGATTGAGATGTGTTGAACTATAGAATGACAAATCCATACAAATAATCAATATAGGCATTGATGCATATATTTATTTATATGATTTATAACATATTTTTTTTTTATCTTGCATTGATTTCAGTTGTAAGATTTTAATAATTTATTGGGCTATGTGTCCATTACGTGGTTTTTCATATTTTCAAGAAAGGATAAGTATTCTATGATATAAGCCTCCAGACATGATAAAAATGTAATAATGTTTCTTTCCATTATTCATTGGAAAACTCTAGTTAAATGATTAAAATGAAAGACAAATGTAATTCTTCCAATATAAATCATGGAGTATGATATGATTGACTTTTTAATAAATGGGTTGTTCGATTTAGATTTTACGATCTGTTTATTAAACATGCGTGTTGGGTTTTAGTTGACTCGTGAACTTACTTTTGACCCGAAAAGGATATGTTTAATATATTTTCCTTTTTTTTTTTACTTATAGGTATACTCTTTTTATTTTGGATTAAATATTTTGAACTTTGTACTTAATATGTTATAATTTTTTTAACAATAATGGGTTAACATATAGGGTTCGGATTACTCAGATTGTTAGTGGGTAGAATTCAGGTTGATCTTTTTGACCAATTTATTAAGTGAGTTAGATTTGGGTTGACTGGATTGATGTTGTGATCGAGTGTTCAGCTTGGTGGTTGAGTGAAACTTTTCCTCCCACACGACACTTGTTGGAATTCCATATCATATATAAAACAAATTTTCTCATTTTATACTCTTTTTTTTTAAATAATCGGGTATCCATCCGCTGTCATCCCGAAAGGGCGTGACTAATCCTCGACTGACCTAAAAGAGGCTCCCACCCCAGAAACCTTCTGTCCCGCACTTGATTGAACCCCACTTAAGAGGTGTTGCCGCTCAATAAAAATCGAGTACGAATTAAAAGGTTTCTAAACGTAGTTGCTCATCAATCAAACTAAATAACGGTGGATAATAATATACTTATAGAAATAGACTTCAGAGTACATAGTCATAAACATATCTTCCACGCTTTCTATTTTCATCATCAAATTATTATTTATTTAAAATAATCATTAGATCAGAAGCTGGATTAATTAGACTGGAGAAGGATGGTCGGGCCTTGGGTTTCGAGCACCCAACTATCCATGTGCCCGCTAATGACTTTTTCCTTAATTTCTTAATGCTTAATGGTTAAACAAACAAATTTTGTGTTGTCCAAGAATACATAAAATCGATCGATTGGGTCTGGAGAGCTTTCCCAATTCCCATGTGTTTCTTCTTCTCCTTCAGCCTTCGCTCATGAGCCTAAAAGCGGCCATTGTTAAAGAGAAGAGCTTTTGTTTTCTTGGTTCTTTACGAGCAAAGGTGGGACCCTTTCTTCCTTCGCCATCCTCAGTTGAAGACATGGCTGCTGTCTTTTGACAGCATCTATGGATTCGGGAAACGAAGGATAGAGAGAGAGAGAGAGAGAGGAGCTCTTCTTTTTCTTTCTTAATTTTTTGAAACAAAAAAGCTATCCTTCTTTTTCCGGACCTCTTTCACGTGCGACGTTTTCCATCCTCTTCATATCAACACCACTCTTTTTTTTCTTCTTCTTCCTCCTCCTCCTCGCAGCTTTCATGAGAGAAAAAGCTGCGTTTTGGTGCCTTACGCCTTGTACTCATCTGTGAGAGAACACTAATGAAAGAAAATGTCATTCGAAATGCTTTCTTCCTCATTCGTTGTTTATGATACCATCTCGGCCACACCAGAGCCTCATCACCAACAACCACTAAGTTTCCTTTTTGATGCCGGCGGCGGATGCCTAAGCCCTGAGTCAGCGATGCTCGGCAGCCTCCAGCCACCGGCAGGGCCGCAGCCGGCTCCACTTCCTTCCTGTGCCGGAGCACAGGGGAAGCGAAAGCGGCGGCGCCGGCCGAGGAGTTGTAAGAACAAAGAAGAAGCCGAGACTCAGCGCATGACCCACATTGCCGTCGAGCGCAACCGCCGGCGACAGATGAACGAGCACCTCGCGATGCTCCGCTCCCTAATGCCGGAATCCTACATCCAAAGGGTCTGCTTCTTCTTTTACCCGCAAATCCAACAAAAATATCCCATCTTTCTTTAATTTCTTCATCTGTACTTAATATGCCCCATCTTCTCATTCGTGTCAAGTAGCTTTCTTCTACAGTCATCTTCTGTTCATCAATTCTCTCCATAGTTTCATAAATGAGGTAAATTTAAAAATAGGACTCCTCTCATTAGCAATTAATGCTTTGCAGGGAGACCAGGCCTCAATTGTGGGAGGGGCCATTGACTTCGTTAAGGAACTGGAGCATCTCCTCCAATCCCTCGAAGCTCAAAAGAGAACAATTGAGCAAACTCAGAGGGCCAATGCAAGCATTAATGATTCTGGAGGCGGGCTAATGAGGACCGATGATGAAACAGAGCAGCCTCCTTTCGCTCAGTTTTTTGCCTATCCACAGTACAATTGGTGCCATCCTCGCCATGAGTACCCGTCCCCGGCGCCGGAGATCCGGTCGCCGGCAGTGGCCGACATCGAGGTGACTCTCATCGAGACTCACGCCAGCCTTCGAATCCTGTCGCCGACAAGGCCGCGGCAACTAATACAGTTGGTGACTGGCCTCCAAGCTCTCAGGCTTTCCATTCTTCATCTCAATGTTACTACATTGGACTCCATGGTTCTCTACTCCCTCAGTGTCAAGGTATGCTTGCAATTACTCAATATCCATCACAGGAATTCAATGACTATTAGCAAGTAAACACTAAAGAAATCGAAGATTTGACCTGTCAGTAATTTTTAGCATTTTTTTAACACTTTTTTTTTTCAGAAGAATGCCTTATTTTATTGTATACAGATAATATATTATTTACAAGAAGAATGTTACACAGAATTAAAAATTTTGATTGAAAATGCAGCCTTAACAAGGAAACTATTATTTAAGCATTGATTTTTAACTAAAAAATATTGAAAACTTCTTCATTGATCCCGGTTTCGAATCATCTTTATTATTGGCCTCACCTCTTCAATGGGGCAAAGCAAGTGTGGGTCTGATGCCGGTGGGTGGTCTCGCTAGGTTCCGCCGAGATATTAGTTACGCCGTCAAGCGCTCCCTTTGAAGTTGCAGCGGATAGATAGATGATGAAGAGTGTTATACCATAAAAGAAATAAAGCAATGCTTTAAGATGAAAGCTTCTTATGGTGTTATTAATCTAAATCAGGCAGCCTAAAATAAGTATAAATTAAGGACCCTTTCAGAGGGCAGCCAATCATGAGAGGGACAAAGGGCATCGCCATACTTCACTAAGAACCTTGCAATTTGCAAAGGCAATCAAATATCTACTTTAAGACCTTTTGGGTTTGTCGATATCTCTTCAAACTTGGACTCTCTTTTCACCGTTCAATTGTCATCCTTTTGTCTCCTGTTTGAGAGGAAATCTGGTTTTGGGTAGCTAGCTGAGGTCAGTTAAGTCTTTTCACTAATGGTTATTTTTCTTATAATATATGAAAATTTTTCTATAATTTAAAGTACTATTTGGTTTTATGAAAAAAGAGCTTAAATTAATCTAAATATAATAATTTTAAAAATTTAGCTATTGATTTGATGGGAAATGAATACAAAATAAATTTTGCTGAATTTTGAGTTTATTTTCTAGATATTTTTGATAAATTCAAACCCCTTTGTTTTTAGAAGAATTTTGCATAGATTTTTTTTTTTATTGTTTAGCCTTTCAAATATCATATATAATTTTTATTTGGCCATTATTTTTTGTTATTTAAAAAAATATTTTTATAAGACTTTTAAAATTTACTTTCTCTACTTACTGATTAGTCTGATTTACATTGTTAAAACTTAAAACATATCCAGCGTTACTTAGTTTGGTTGGTGGACGAGTACAGCTCGACTCCTCTCGAATGACAGTGCCTCTCAAGTGGGGCCTAGAGGTTAATGAGGTGGGTGCCACTTTTAGATTAGTGCAAAACTTCACCATTTTTTTTCCTTTAGTAACTAGGGTTTGAAAAATAGCTTGTAGCTTCCTTCTTTTGGTGTCATGAGAAGCCAAAGTTGGGACCCATTTGAGATGTGACATGTCCCTAGAGGAATCCATTCTAGTGTGGTCCATTAAAAGGGTGCAGATTAATGAGTGAGGCTGATTTCCTTATAATTTTTTTGCACAAACATTCAGATCAATTGAGTATTTTGTCCAGACAATCAAATCCCCAAATCGAAATCAAGTTAAACAGAAAATTAAAATTTATGATTTTTAATTAATTTGCTTTGTTTTGAAAGTGTAATTTATTTGACAAATTTTACGAGGAAATAAATTTAAACTTAGGGTTCGATTGAGACGATTTTCTTATTGCCTCTTAAAGCAGTTTTTAGTAAAAAATTTCAAATTTTGATATTGTGAAATCATTATATTTGACTAAGTTTCAAATACAATATAAAATCTTTATCATTGTTGCGATTGTCGGCCGGCGCCGTCCCCCTCCGACGACACACTCCTGTCGGGGCGGCAGCGGCGGCCACCTGCTGCCTCATTTTCTTTTTCACATATGGTTCTTGTTTGCATGTTTATTTTTAGTATTATCTTGTTAAATCATGATTAATGATGCTATTGAAGGTTGAGGAAGGATGCAGCCTATCCACAGTGGATGAAATTGCGGCCGCGGTGCACCGCATGCTATCGCTCATTGAAGCAGATTCAATTTCAGCCGTTCATCAAGTTTTCCTAGACGAACTGTCAAGCAGTCCAAACCCGCCCCTGTCGTTCTAAAAATCTACGAGAATGCCACCCCTTTCATTTTCTCTTACCCATGCTTCTCAAGCTAAAGTTCTGGGGCCAAGTGTACTATATTCCCCCCTCCCCTCTCTCATATATTTCTCTTTTTATCTATGTAAGCAAATCTGCAAGTTCCTCTTCCCCTTAATTTAGTTTTCCTGCGCAGAAATGGGAGGCCAAATAAACTTTCATGGGCTTCAAGCTTTTATTCAATGAACTAACCTGGCAGATTTTGGTCTGTAGTTAGGGTAAAATGTTTGCATACGACATTTGACCCAAAATAAATATTATGGCATTCTTAATATACGTTAAATAATGCATGAGAAATTGAAAGGATACGCTATTCTCTCCAGATTTTCATAAGTTGGGTGTCTTAAAATTAGAATGTCTTTGTCACCTCTGTGAGTTTTGTATAGAATCTAACTATGTCAATCAATTGTACTGTTGCCTTAAACCTCGATGTTGTCAATGAGGAGCTTGACGGGGGTTTGTAGGGGGCAGCGCTCCCTTGCTTTGGGTTTAGGCATTGCCCCTGTTTTTTTTTTTTTTCCGAACAAGCGTCACAGCGCTATTTGCCGGAGCACTACAACGCTCCAAGCTTGGATCAAAGACAGAGAGCACAATGTTGTAATAATGTTGATGTAATGGATTGATGGAAAAATTGGATTGAAGGAATTCCAATCCAGGAACAAACACAAGCTTATAAGCTTAAAAGACTATAATATTCATCATAATTTCCCTTCTTACAATACCTTGTTTATATAAAGGCAAAAGAACATTCTAGAAAAGCATATACCAAAGCTAACAAAGGTTAAATTATTCATAAGGAGTATTCAACTAAAGGTGATCCTGCATCATACTCCTTTTGCGTCAAAAGAGCTCGACTTCGTCGAGGTACATCCTCGAGAGGGAGTTAGATGTAGACATCAAAGTCAGTCCTCTTGGATCAAAGATTTTGAAAAAGAATGTTATTGCATTCGTCACAGCACCATTCTACTGGTACTCAGAGACCACTAAAGTCCAAGCAACAACAACTGATTCGGTTAATCCCTCAAAAAATCGAATAGATTCACCCATCACATTGCACTTGGCATACAAATCAATGAGAGAATTACTTATGAACAAATCAGCCTCAAATCCTCTTTGGAAACATATTCATGCACTGATCTTCCATAATTAACATACCCAACAAAACTAGAAGCTTGAAGAACACTAACTAAATCAAGGCCATCAATTTCTATACCATTCTCCATAGACATATTTCTGAACACATCAAAAAATGCTTGAGACAATATTTCAACAAAAAATCATGACTTTCTCCATCGCAGTAGTAGCAATTTCAAGTTTCTGCGGTATAAATTGGCCCACATACTTATCAGCTCTAATCACAACAAGATGATCAGTAAAATCCAAAAGTTCTTCCATCCTCCGTGTCTCAAAGGATTACTTGGTCTAACAAAAGATGCATAGAGAACAATGCTTTCCACTGGGATTCCTGGCCCAACAAATTTGGGATCAGATCCTTTAGTGACATTTCGTCGAACAGCTTGAGAGCGTTATATTGGATCAACTTTGTCAGTAGAATTCACATCGAGCATTTGCACACTTGCAGCGGAAACATCCCCAATACCACTTCCATCATATCTTTTAATATTATCCATCAATTCTAGTAGAGTTGCAATCCTTTTATAAGATAATTCTTCATCTTCCAAAGTTTCCCCCTCCTACACCTTCACATTCAGGATGGAGTAGGTGTGGCTTATCTGTTTCATCAGCAGCTTTGAATGACACCTCAACCTTCGAGTAGGGATAGAGAGTTTTCTTTCTCATTTTTTATGCCTAAGTCAAATGGTTGCGTCCCTTGATGATGTATATATGTGTCTCTTTGTTATTTTAAGTAGAGTGAAGTGTGAAGTAAAGAAAGACAAAGTGATATGAGTGAGAGAAAGAGATTGTTGGGAAGTAAACCACATAGCGAAAACAAATAAAGAAGAGAAAATACAATAAAAAAAAGAATACTAGGATTTAGCATGGAAAAACCCAAAATCAAGAAAAAATCACAGAGCAAGACTGCACCAAAAATTTTAATGTGAAAATTGAGAGAAATTTGTATAGATCTATTTCTCTCTCACTCTCTCTTTATCTATCTTCACTCTTGCTCAATTCTCATACATGAACAAATAATGAGAAATCCACTAAGGGACACAACCCTTCATGAAAAACAAAGAAGAAAAATGTCAATACGCCTCGCAACGCCGCGGCGCAAAGTTAGGAGCGTGCCGAGGTAGCAGTACAACTCGATTGATCGACACAATTAGATTCCACAAAAAACTAGCAATTGATGCAACAAAATAATAGTGCAAAAACACAACATTCCTTTCCTTAAAACACATTGACAAACATAAACAAGATAACAATAATATTAAAACAAAGGCACATTATAAATTATAAAAACTTAAGAGGATACAATGGAAGTGTAACTTGTGGAGAAAAGAACTAGGTAGAAGACTTAGAAGAAGAAGTAAGTAGAAGAAGAAGCTCTCAAGTTTAGGAAGAACCCCTAAGGTTTTTAGAGACAAATATAAAACTTCAACCACCTCCCAACAGCAGCCAACATCTCATATATAAAGGGAAAGAAGCCCAATAGTCACCCAAAATAGCCGCCCCAAACAGCCAACCAAAACCGAGAAAAGAAAAACAAAAGAACAAGGCATGACATAACCACAAACCGAACAGTCAGAATCAGAACAACCAGGAGTCGAACATACACCAAGAAAGGAGCACGGCTGCTTAGGAATCCAAGCAGCCAAGTGCACAAAAAGCCAGCCCTCAATCAACCATAACACTCCAAACACCAAACAACCAAAGCAACATGGGCCAAGCCCATTTAGATGAATTTCAACCCAACAATAATTACCCAAGGAATTTTTTTTTTCCTACATCAATTCTCCCCAGGTGGAGAATCTCATCTCATGATGATAACGCTTCAATCATCTACTGAGAGATCTCGGGATGATGAAGCTGCAACTCTTCATCTTCAACAGTCAGTCAGGGGGGGCATCCATTCCATCCAACCAAGAGTCGTTGGTGCACTCCATATTTTGCTTGGGTTGTATAGATATCCACAGCATCATTAGTAACAGTAAGAGGCAAAGTTCCACACAACTGTATGCTTTTAGTAGCACCTTTACTTGACGCAGCTAGATTCATCAATTCAAGTTGTTCATCCTCTATAAGTTGCATGTTCATCCTCTATTAGCTTTCAAGAATAACAATTTCTCCATTGTGCCTTTCATGATCTTGCATTTCTTTGTCAGCCGACATTTGCACCTCGCTATTTTTTTTATACATTGTTCCTCACACGCTACCATCCTATCCACGACTTCAACTTTGTCTACTATTTGAGTATCAAATTTATCCAAAATATCATTGATTGGATAAATAGTAATCTGAGCATCTTGAAGAGCATAACCTGACTGTATTTCTCTTTTTTTTTTTTTTTTTTTTTTTGAGGATGTTGCTTTTTTTTTTTTTTTTTTTTTTTGAGGATGTTGCTTCCCATAAGAAAAATATGGCAACTTACTATCAAGATTATGAACTGAATCAGGATTAATTGAAGAACCAACTTCATCAATAGGCGTTCTCCAAAGTGAGTTTTCCATACAGCTAAAACTTGCTCGTTGGAATATAGATTTCATCTTATTGGATCCCGCATTTTGTTTCAAAATAAGTTTGCCTTTTGGACTTAGTGCAACAGGGTAGTAGTCATTGCTTCCATTTGTTGTAGTAGGTTAACCATTTGTTGCATAAACATATGTTGACATTCAGCTTGTTGATTATCCCTTTTTTTTAATAAAAAAAGGAGACTCACACGCTAACCAAGAGCTTTGATACTAAATTGATGCAACAAAATAATAGCGCAAAAACACAACATTCATTTCCTTAAAACATTGACAAACATAAACAAGATAACAGTAATATTAAAACAAAAGCACGCTACAACTTATAAAAACTTAAGAAGAAGGATACAATGGAAGGATAACTTGTGAAGAGAAAATTTAGGTAGAAAACTTAGAAGAAGAAGAAGCTCTCAAGCTTAGGAAAAAACCCTCAGATTATTAAAGACAAATATCAAACTTCAACCACCTCCCAACAACATCCAACATCTCATATATAAAGGGAAAGAAGCCCAATAGTCACCCAAAACAGCCGTCCCAAATAGCCAACCAAAACCGAGAAAAAAACCAAAGAACAAGGCACGACAAAACCACAAACCGAACAGCCAGAATTAGAACAACCAGGAGCCGAACAGACACCAAGAAAGGAGCACGGCTGTTCAGGAATCCAAGCAGCCAGGTGCACAAAAAGCCAGCCCTCAATCAGCCATAACACTCCAAATACCAAACAACCTATTTAGATGAATTTCAGCCCAACAATAATTACCCAAGGAAATGTTTTTTGCCTACATCAACAAAGATATATACAATTTCTCTCAATTTTCATAATGAATTTATTGGAGTGGTGTGACTCTATAATTTTTTTTTCCAATTTCATATCCCGAGATCCTTAATCAGCAATGCATCAAAGTGTGCTTGGACACCATCAAACACAACATGAGCATGTTTAACAAAAATTGGCTGAAACATTAAAATTATGGCATAGTAATATCCCCACCATGCTAATTCATAATTTTCATAATTGCCATTTTCTTTCAAATGTTTTTTTCACTTCTTAGGTTCATGCAAAATACAATCTTGATAACACATACCTCTCTCTCTCTCTCTCTCTCACACACACACACACCCCACACACACACACACTCAAACAAAGGAAAATGTAGTTGAGTTGAAGTCATAAATTTCCCGGTACTCAACGTGTAGGATGGCATAAATGAATGATACAAAGGGTAAGAAGCTTCATAGGTAGAAGAGAGCAAAAAAGACGACACAAAATTTTAGTGGCTGGGACAAGTTGCATGTCGATAGGAGAAACATACGTGGACAGTTTTCAGGATAAAAGGAGTACGCATAAACTTACCAAAATAAAAAAGGGCGTGTTAACCCCTACGGCAAGAACACGTGAAAAGGAGAAAAAATTAGCAACTTAAGTGATTGTCGGCGGGCACTACGTGTCACTTAAGTGGTCAAATGACCTCTGTTCACCAAACCGATTATGTCGTTGCGAACAGAACGTCGAAATTGAACAAAAGGGAGCCCCTCACGATTAATTTGAGCAAAAGCGGTCAGAATCGAAAACTAAAAACCTGAATATAACACGCAACACTGCCCAAACGACGTCCAATCGTGAAACGAACATCGTCGTTGCGTTCAAAACGTCGACAATACTTAAAATTTACTATAATTTAGTCAAAAGAAATTCACAGAGAGAAATCGGCGCTAATCCTAAGGCAACGTCGCACACAAATCGAGGGAAAATGAACATATTTATCTTCTATTTTATTTTAACTATTTTAAAATAATAACAGCGATAAAAAAAATTGCAATATAAATGAAGATTTTTATTAATTTAATCAATTAAGTTAATTAATTATTTAAATTAATTTAAAAAAGGATAGTCGTACCTCTGTTGGGCGCCAACGCCGACGCTGCTCGCATTTCTTCGCACGATCTCCTACCCAGGTCAAGAAATTCGGTCTACCTTGGTGGTTAAAATGAGAACGAAGCTTAGTTCATTCGTTTCTTCGACAAAAAAGCTCCAGTTTGCACTCAACAAAGTCTCAACCTTCCTCGTTCGTTGAAGCTCTGGATCACAACAAATCATTCGAGCCTTTCCTCCTTAAACAAAGCTCCGTTTCTTCCAACCGTCAAAATCCCCTCAACCGCAGCCCACTCGATGCACACAGGAGCTCCTGCGATCAAATCCTCCAGCCGAATCTTCCTTCTCTCCCGATTTCCCCAACCGACAACCACCAACACCAAGTCCTCCTGTCATTGCCAACTGAAATCTTAAATCCACGAACACCTGCCGGATTCAACTCTTACCTAATTCGGAGAGCTGATCTGTCTGCTCTCCACGAGTTGAACCCGTCACCTGCTCAGGACACAGCTCCCCTTCAATTCCAACCACACACAAGCTTCCAGACAATCAACCACTACCCTCGAACTCCAATCCTGTATGGTACAGACATACATCTCTGCTAATGTAATATATGGCCAGCAGCAGCTGGTTGCTGATACAAAGAACTCCTTAAAATTGAAGTTTTGTAAGATCAAATATGCATTCATCCACTAATAAAACTCAAGAGGTTGCATTACAGTTCTACACGTCCTAGTCTGTCAAGACTCTAGGATATTTAGAAACTATCGTACTATACAACTTAACAGCTTAAAATGACCAACAACAAAACCATGTTAAAAAAAATACAAAACAAAGTACTCAAACAAAAGCTGGAGAAGACTAAATATTGCATTTTTCTATTTTTCTCTACAATGAAAATAGAAACCATACATATTGATGATCGCAGTGCCATTTTTCAGCTTCTCTAATCTCAATCACACAAAGATCGCATGAGAGCTCTAGGGCTCCCCCAGATGGGCAAATCCAACAATGACTGTGTCAACCGATCCTCCTGAGTTTCGCAAAATAAATCCACAATATTGCACAAGTCCGATATCTTTCTAAAAATTGTTTCTTGAGTCTCCAGCTGCAAGGCCAAGGTAATCCACGAGAAAATAAGGACAACGAAAAAATTGTTGCAATATATTCAAATGAAATAAAAATATTTTATGTTCATCATCTAATGACGTGGGCCTTAACTTCAGTAGATAGTAGCATATTTAATGTAGCTTCATAGCGTAATTATTTTGAAGGAAAGTATTTTGAGTTTACTATATTTAAAAAGGACAAGGTCTCCTCCTATTCTATCAGTAACTTTTCTCCTCCCATCAAAGAGAAAAATAGGGAAAGAGTAGGTGGGGTAAAATCCTCGGAGCAGTTATTTCAATCACATTTTTAATATATTTCACACTCCATTTTTGTTATTTCACATATAAAGGGAGTAACAAGGTGATCCACATGTAACTAAGTAAAAATATAAAAGCAAAATGTGAAAAGAATTTATTAAGGAACATATAAATTTTACTGAAAATGCTAAAAAACATAATTTTTTTTTCTGAAATCTTGATCAAAGGAAATGTGATAACTATAATAAAAAAATTATCTTTATTTTATTTAAAAAATGGAGTAATTTTCAACCTTGTAGGCTTGAAAAGTTTAAATTGGAAGTTTTTTTTTTTCATTGCATGATATAATACATTAAGATGTTAGATTGATACACCAGGGGTGGGGGCACTAGGCTGGCCCAGACCAACCCAGTTGGCCGGCCAAACCCAGACCAAACCAACCATTTGGCTGGGTGGATTAAGGGGCAATAAGTGGGGGAATTTCGGCCCTCCTTGTGGGGCACAGGGAATCTATTATTCATTATGCAAGGAAGAGGAATTAAGGGGTAACTAATTAGGAAATGTTTATTTAGAGAAAGATGGACGATTTGATTGGTAAAGAATTAAGAAAGATTTATTAAGAAAAAAATGCTAATTTGATTGAGAGAAAATTGAGAAATGTTTATTTAGAGAAAGAAGGCTGATTTGATTGGGAGAGAATTAGGAAAAGTTTATTTAGAGAAAAATGACTGATTTGAATTCAGATTTGGTAGGGAAGAATAAAGGTTTATATTAGTAATTGGGTTTATTTTTGTAATTGTGTTTGCTGTAGTTTTTCTTTGGAGTTGTTCCTAACAGTGCCTAAGTTTGTGGGAGAGCCGATTTACCTCTCGAATAGTAGATTAATTGTATATTTCATTATTGTTGGAGTAATAAAAAATCAGTGCCCATACTTGTGTTCCTGCAATTTTGATATAGGCAAAAATTAAAAAAAAATCTAATTCTTGCAAGCAAAATATAAACTTCCTAAACAACATAAGAAAATACATAAAATGCTCCACTTAAACAAAATAACATATAACTTTCATATTATAAACGACGCTTACAAACACAACCATAAACAACACCTAAATGAGCTCTTCTTTGCTTGAGACGAAAGATGCAGATAGAGTCGAACTTGCGGAGAGAATAAAGAGGTTAGAAGCCGAGACGAAGAGAGGACAAGCTCGCAAGCTATCCTAGAAGAAGAGATGAAGAACGGAACAAGCTGGCAAGCTTTTCCAAAGAAGAAAAACCCTCTGGTTTTTAGCTTCCAAAAATACCACATAACTCTCTTTTTTCTAATTACAAAACATCTACTATATATAGAAGAAAAATGGCAGCCAAACAGCCACAAAAAGGGCCAGCAATTATTCCAAAACAGCACCCGAAAAGGCCACAAAGAAAACCAGGAAAAGCAGCCATGGGACAAGCATCCAGGGGAGGAACCAAAGGGACAAAAGCAGCCATGGGACAAGCAGCCAGGGGAGGAACCGAAGGGGCAACACAGGGATATGAATCAGCAACCAAGGGGATCGGAACAGGCCATGGGAAGGAGAAACTGAAGAGACAAAGAAACAGAAAGGGAAAGGCGGCCTTGGAAAGGGAAACTAGGTGGGGAAACCAAAGAGTCTTTAGAGAGGGAGGAATGAACCAACATAAAATACTCAATTTATCAGCTTAAAAAAAAGAGGTTAAGCATTTATGAGCTGATTTTTAGTAGAGGAAAAACAAACTCACCAAAATTAAAACACAAAATATTTTGACCCACCTTTTTGCCTATATCAATTCTCCTCCAGTTAAAGAAGCTCATCTCCCGATGAGGTTGCTTTAGATTTATTCCAAGGAGATGAAGGAAGCACATCTAACTCTTGAATCTTTGCTTCGTTTTTCTCCAGGATCTTCTCTCATTCCTGCTTGAATTGATCTTGCAGACGCCTCTTTTTCTTCATATAGTTTTCCGTACATATATGCATTTTCGTTTGAAGCTTGTATAACTCATTTTGAATTGGGTCCGTTGAACTTTCTTCAGACGGAATCCATCTGTCGATTGAAATTGGCACTTTCATATCTTCTAGTTGAATTTCATCCACTATTGGATCATTGTTTTTACCTTTTTTTTCATTTTTTTAAACACTAAAAAAAAAGACAAAAAAACTAGGAAGACACAAGCCTAGGTTCTGATACCAAATTGATGCAGGCAAAAATTAGAAAAAATCTAATTTTTGCAAGCAAAAGATAAACTTCCTAAACAATATAAGAAAATACAAAAAATGCTGCACTTAAACAAAATAAGATATAACTTTCATATCATAAACGACGCTTACAAACACAAACATAAACAACACCTAAAGTAGCTCTTCTTTGCTTGAGACGAGAGATACATATGGCTTCGAACTTGCGGAGAGAAGAAAGATGTTAGAATCCGAGACGAAGAGAGGACAAGCTCGCAAGCTATCCTAGAAGAAGAGATGAGGAAGAACGGAACAAGCTGGCAATCTTTTCGATAGAAGAAAAATCCTTAGATTTTTAGCTTCCAAAAATACCACATAACTCTCTTTTTTTTATTACAAAACATCTACTATATATAAAAGAAAAAGGGCAGCCAAACAACCACAAAAAGGGCCAGCAATTATTTCAGAATAGCACCAGAAAAGGCCACACAGAAAACCAGGAAAAGCAGCCACGGGACAAGCAGCCAGGGGAGGAATCGAAGGGGCAGCACAGGGATTGAAACCAGCAACCAAGGGGATCGAAACAGACCACGGGAAGGAGAAACCGAAGAGACACAAAGAAGGGGAAAGGGAAAGGCAGCCTTGGAAAGGGGAACTAGGTGGGGAAACCAAAGAGTCTTTAGAGAGGGGGGAATAAACCAACATGAATACTCAATTTATGAGCTTAAAAAGTAGAGGCTAAGCAATTATGAGCTGATTTTTAGTAGAGGAAAAACAAACTCACCAAAATTAAAACACAAAATATTTTGATTCCATCGTTGTTTTTGCTTCCAAGTCGCATCATAGACCTGATCATTAAACAAGCTGGGCCTGGCACTAGTGGTGAGCTTTGGCCATAAGCTCATATGTCTCATATTCAAGTAGTACTTGATCGTGGAGCTAAATAACTGGCTGAAAATGAATTAGGAAATTTTTTTGTGGAACCTACCCTGTCAATATGATCCTAAAATAAGAAATCTAAATGTATCTTTGAATTTAAGTAATAAGTATTGAATTAAATGATATTATTGGATTCTATACCTCAGAAGTTGGAGTGGTTATAGCATTACATGCACTGAAACAATCAAATATTAAGGACAATGATGTTGGTTTAGAATTATAACTATCATAGAACAGTTGAGAATGGCAACCCAAAAGAAAAAGGCTTGAGATTCAAAATAAAAAATTTCAATAGAGTTCACGAGAAACAATAACTTATAAGAATAAAATATAAGCTCCGGCCAGGCCATGAATTGGTGGCAAATCATTGCTATTTCTCATTCGAACTTGGGCTTCTAAGCCAAAACTCTACCATTTGGATTATGTTGTTCCAAGCAGCTTCAAATATATAATAGGCTTTGCTCACCATCGAGAAACCCACCCATTCATCATGTCTAATAGATATAGATAGACGGATAAATATATAATTATAAATTATAGATTATATTGATAGATATAAATATATAGATGTTGTATAAAAGGTTCCAACTATTTTAGATCTTTATCTATTTTAGTAAATATCAACTTCCTTAAAAATTTAGATTTTAAAATGCCTTGCACAATAACCAAAACAATTGATGTCATGCCTTCAATTGCTCTATTTATATGCTTACATAAATAAAAAAAAAATCAATATCAGGAGAGTAGTCAATTATAAAAATATAAAATGCAGCTTCTATATTATATTTGTAAATTTAAAAGATTTGAAATGAGATATTCACACTGTTTGTAAGTTAATATATAAAATATAAATATCTAGACGAATTGACAATCTAGTTATGAAAGAAAGAGATGTGAGTAGAGATTCTCCTCCAAAAATAAGAAGTCTTGATAAATGATTCGACTTGAGGGAAAACTAGTTTTATGGAGTGTATGAACCACCCGCTTATTTTTTTTAATAATTTTCACAAGACATTCAACACTAATAATTTAAAAATGAAATGTCTTAAGGTTTGGAGAGGGCTTTATTTCTAAACAGAGCCATCTTTCTTCATGCTTTTTATGATATAAATTCACTTTATTTTCATTAGTGCATCCATATAGATATATAGATATAGATAGATATAGAGATATGATCACAATTATTTATGCTGCCAGTGTGCATATGAGTTAGGACCAGGAGGACTTTTAGATACTGTATTTTCCCTTTTATTCTCCTAATTAAATCAATCCTGTGCTCGATTCTACAATAATTTTAATTATTGAATGCTCAGATATGCAAATATTTTAAATTTCCTATCAAAATTCACAATTGAATCAAACCCAACCGTAACGAGATTTACCTCGAGGATAAGGCCGTCGATCGCCGGCGGAGACAGATGGAAGGAGCGAGGGGAAGCCAAGGATGATGTGCGAGCTTCGGAGGTGGTTTCGGGAGTAGGAGAAGCCAAGCGAAAGAGGGAGGCAGAAAGGTCCTCCCACTGCTCTAGTTCTCGCTGATACCTGTCGCGGATGGTAATGAGGCACCGCTTCTTCCGCGCGCGGTGACTTCTCCGGAGTTCTTCTGCGGAGTCGGCAGGAAGACGCCCCACCAGTGAGGAGAGGTGGCGCCGCCGCCGCTTGTAGACGAAGCCGTTGTCTTCGCAGACTTCCCAGTCAGCGTCGGCCATCACAACACGGATTACCTGTGAAACGGCCTGCCGGTTAGAGATCCCTATAAAATCGGGATATCAGAAAACTAGGGGGCTGTTTGGTATCGGATTTACAGCGGGATTTAAGTCGGATTTACGCTAAATCCAGCCAAACGATTTTTGTGCGCGCGTTAAAAACCAGCGATGGGTAAATCCCAGATTTAAGGATTTACGGCTTAAATCCCAGATTTACTCAATCCCATGGTTCGGCGGATTTGTGGGATTTGGCCGAAAAAGCGCGCGAATGGGAGAAAGTTACCTTCACAGCCAGCGAGCTCCCGTTGTTGCTTCCGATCAAATGTCGTAACTTCCGATCCAACAGGAAGGGAACGTCGTCGAAGGAGTGAGCCCAAGAAGCGACGCGTGCAATCTCTACACCTCCTGCGAAGCAACGAAGCTGAACAGCAACGACGAAATGAGAAGATGAGAGCAAACCCTAGACGCCTTGATTAACTTCTTTTGGGACATTTAGGCCGTTTTTAAGTCAAATGTACAAACTCCAACTCTAAGACATCTTTATTGAAAGACTAAACTCTCAATCAATTGGCTAAGATGAACTGTGTATTATTGATTAATTTAATTAATATAATTTAAAATATTAATAATTAAATAAATTAATTAAATAATTAATAGTATAATTAGTACATAACTTAATTATTTTATTTAACTTAATTGAATAATTAGTAATATAATTAGTAATTAAATATTAATATAACTTAAACTATGTATTATTAAATATATAATTAATAGTGTAAATAATAATTAATGAGTAACTTCTAATTAGCATATTATTAAATTCATAACACATTAATTTTTATTTTTAATTTATAATTATCTATTTCACATTTAAATTCATAACTAGCATAAATCCTGCAATATATTACCAAACAGTTTCTTAGAATTTAACATTTATCGTTCCAAATTGTATTCAAGATTTAACAACCTCATGAGTTACTAAATTCATATTTACATGATTTATTAAATCCCACTTGTTGCCAAACAGCCCCTAGGGTAAAGTCAGTGGCCTGGCAGCTGAACCAGTAACAATTTTAAAAAATGGTTCACTTCACTGGAATTTTGATCGCATAATATGTAAGAAAAAATTAGCAAAGTTAAAACCTAATATTCCTATTCGGCAATCAAATCATGTTCATTCGTCTGCTCTTCGTTCGTAACTTCATTGTCTCGATTTCATCTGCATCTACTGGTTGCGTTCCGTTCATGTCTCTTGTTTGTCGAGTTCATAAACAAAGGCCTCCACGGCATCAGACTCCCTTCTCATATTTGCTCCAAGCTGTGGGAAGTAAGTTTTTGAAACCCTTTAGTAATTCTTCTAGGTTTTGTTTTGCTATTACTACAAGTTGATGATATGGTTTTTTTTTTTTAACTGTTTGTGAATAGCAAGTTTGCAACATTGATGTGGAAATGTTGAAAATTATGCTTAGTTCTAAATTGCGTTTTGGTATATCATCTTCGCGTCTCGTGCTTTAGTTCCATTTTGCTATTACCACATGTCGATCCATCTTTTAATTCTCTTCCTCACGTGAAAGTGTTTTTAGGGTTACAGATTTTTTAAATACTTCTATAAATTACTGAGTTCATAAAATTTTGAGTTTAGCTAATTATTCAAATTTAAATAGGTGCTTAATTAAGTAATGTAACTATTCAATTTACTACTATGATTCATTAACAATGTTATTTTCATTTATTAGCTATTTGTAGGTAAGCCTAAATTTGTTTGGAAGAATGAATAGTAAAAATTCTAAGTTCTTGATATAGATTGTGGTGAAATGGTTTGATCCAACAAGGATTTGTCATAGTTACAATCAATCTTTTGCTTATTGTATTTTTTATTATGTTATTTATATTGCATCTCTTATTGGTGTTAATTTTCTTTTCATTTCATTCATAGAAGTTCATTTTCTTTTATTCATTTCATTTTTAACAGTTTCACATCCTAGAAAAAGATAACAGAAAAATGGTATGCATTCCTCAATGCTCAACACGCGGTAGAGGCTTGACAATAGGCATGTTTTCCTCCATCAATACAATGCCGTTTGGAACATGTAGCTGCATTATGTGATGTTTGGTGATGTTGTGATGTTAAAATTACTCTACATTTATTTAATTAGTTATAAATCTTGCTTAAGTTATTTGTGAAATATTTATTTATATTTTATAGACTTAGTTGATGCCATCTAGTATGAAACTATGCTATTAAGATAATAAGTCTTCATCAATAAGTAAAGGTACTAAGTTTTAATGAAATCCATAAGAGTCATATGTTGTTAAATGGCTACGGAGGTGAAGCTAATTTTATTAATTTTTATTAATATTATTATTTATTACGTCATTTAGTTTGACCCTAATTTGATTGGTCGAACCATAAATCACTCCTTTCAATTCGTTCTCTAGTCTGATTTAAAAGTTATTTTTGAATATGTCTCACAATATATAAAATTAGATAAATATACCACACAATTTATTTCTTAGAGAAAATGCCTAAAAATTTTGTTTGAATAAAAGTATCCCCTGCTATAGCTATCTCCCAATGTATAGGAGGGGAGTCTTATTCTTCTACTTTAGCTTTCTTCATTATTGTTATCGTAGTCATATAATTGTTCAAGTTACTTCGCTCATATAATTGTTCAAGTTACTACGCCGTCGAAGATCAAGATTTCTTCATTCATCGACAACTTTAAGCATATATGTGTAGTAGTTTTTAGAGTTTTTATAATCTGACATAGATTAGATCATTTTGATGGAGATCTAGCCTAAAGCTAGATAGAGTATCAAAGATTTAGTTTCATTATTTGTTAAAACATCTAAGCAAATTATGTTATGATTCATAACTTAATTGAATATGGTAAAAGGCATCAAAGATTATGTTGTTCAATCTTTATTGAAACTATGTTTGAACATTATTTGATGAGTGAGATAAGATCCTAACATAACTAGAAAGATGTTTTAACTTGGTATGAATAAGGTATGATTTTGCCTCTAGATATAGTTCAATTGCAGGTTGAATATATTCGACTATGACTTTATCATTATTTGATAATGTTTGATCATTGTTCAAATATGATTCGATTAATTTTAATCCATATTAGAAGAATAGTGAAGTTATATGCTCACAATTTTTTTTTTAAAGTAAATCATGTATTAACATTCTTATATTATATGGAGGATAATGAAAATAAAATATGCAAGTTTGTTGGATATTCATAGAAAATCAAAATAAATGATTGAAAATATATAAAAACATTTTCTTTAGCAATCTCATTGATCTTGTGTATAAAGTGATAGTTGTTGATAAGACAGCTTAATTTGAGGTTGGATGTAACCTATCGCTTTGGTAACGCACTGTCCCTAGTAACCTTAAATAGGTAATATAGGCTTACTAAATTGAACTCTAGGTCCACCAAATTTGACCCAAGAATTCAAAATCCAAATCCAATTCAACTTCAACACAAAGTGATTCAATCTAATTAAATTTGGCCAAATAATCCTGAATCAATTGAATTTAATTGACTTGCTTGCTCAATTCAATGTTAATTTTATCTGAGCAGGTTAAATTGTATGGAATCAATTTAACTAAGTCGAGTCAAATCAACCGCATCGAGTTAAACTAAAAAAATTTAACCAAATCCAAGTTACAATAAGAAAGAAATTGTCAAATTAAGTGAAAATTTTTTTATATATGTTTCTCTGACATGAAATTGAAATTGAGAAGGTTAAACTTATTATTATTATTTTAGGATTCTTTCATCAATTTGAAAGAGGTGCTGAAATTTTAATTTGATTTTCTATCTTGAGATTGAAGGGGAATGAAATTTTTTTTTATTTGGTTTTTATTCATGAAATGAAAATAGAGAATGCTGAAATTTCTTATAAGATTCTCTCTTGAAGAAAGAGAGAATGCTAAAATTGCTTTCCTCTTGTTTTTTCCTTATTGAAGAAATGAGTGATTCACCAGGTTCTTTAAAGAAACCCAACAATATTCAAGCACTTGTGCTGTTGTTTGCTTGATTAACCAATAAATTAGAAATATATGGCATAATAATAGATTATACTCTTATCGTATGCAAAGTACCCGAGCCCAAATAAGAGGAGGGGCGGACGACCTCCTTCAACCACCCAGCGAGCTCGACCAATAAAGTTGAGGTCCAAGGTAACTTGATTGATCAACACAATTGTATTCCACACATAACAAACATTAATGACTCCAAGATTATCGCTAACCAGATTGCTTCATCAAGTTTTCCAAATCTAGTGCGGCTAAGTGATATGAGAGCTACATAAAATTAGGGGTGCCAATTATTGACCCGACCCGATAACCCGACCTGAAAAATCCGGGTTAGGGTCAACCCGTTTAACAAACGGGTCAGGTTCGGGTCTCAACTTCTGACCCGTTTAAAAAACGGGTCGGGTCCGGGTCAACCCGGTCACCCGAAATTGACCCGGTAACTCACTCATTTTTTAACTTTTCCCGCGTGGGACTGGGAGGGAAAAGCCGAAAACTCGGACGTCTATCACGGGTCACGTCGCCTGGCGAGTTGTCAGCGTCCGGCATGCAACATCGCCTCTCGCCTGGCATCCGCAGTCCGCACCTACGAGGCTCGGGGTCGAGGGTCGAGCAGTCGCATGTCGAGGCTACCCGCTACGACGCATCAACTAACGACGCCTGTCCGCACCAGCGCCGGACCGCCTCAGCCTCCGAGCCCCGGCTCGCGCTGGCATTACCTGGCTGTCTGGCTTCGGTGACGTTGAGTACTCGAGTCCGCACCGACCGGCGACTGCCAACCTCCGTGCAGCCAGCGTCTCCGGCACCGCCACCGTCTCGCCCCGTATATATATATATATATATATATATATTAGTTATATTGTACTTGAACACTTAATATAAAAGTATAGAGCAAATGCATATAAATAGGGTAAGCTAATTTAATCAATAATTTCATATCAATTGTCTGACTCCTATGCAATTCACGGGTGAATTTACATGGTAAACATAGGCAAACACCTTTTTTTTTTCATTGACAATCCCTTTAGATTTAGTAAAAATATGAATTTTTAGAAAAAAAAAGTCATATTTGGGTCTGATTTGCCTCTTTTATATAACAAACAAAAATTCAATTTCTTCTCAACAAAATAAGTTTTCTTTTTCATCTCCTCAATATAAGAAGTGGGTGAAAAACAATTTCGATATAGTTCCTTTGATTTTTAATTCCATTCTTCTAATTCATTCGCCCCAATCATAACATACAAGTTTGGATTGAAGAACAAAAATTGCATGGCTAATAAATCAAAATATAACACTTAGGTGTAATAGAGAATTATTTGGTGAAATGTCGAATTGGATATGAACGAGAATTGCAAGGCTCGGATATATATCAAACATGAAATGATATTTAGTGAAGAGATCTGTATGTTGATTTGACCATTCTTTGAAACG